CAAGGTAGAAACTTCCTTTTTCTGACACTGTCTGGCCTCCAGGGGGCATCTCCAACCTCCTTTCCTTCACCGCTTGTCTATGCAGCTGGCTGCCCTGCTCTCGGCTTGGGGCCTGAGGCTCAGCTCACCACTGCCTGGCTCATTCACAAGGCCCAGCCTCAGTCCCACCTCCTCCAGGCAGCCCTCCCTGACCCCCTGGCCCAGCAGTGTCCCCCCTTGTCCTAGCTAGTGTGGATGTTATCTTGCGGCCATCTGCTGAGCTTGGCCCTGGGGGCTGAGGGACATAGCTCGTCCTTCATTTCCCAAGTCCACTGTCCTTCCCCACCCCTTGCACCTGTAAGCTCTCAAACCAGGCCTGGACGTGAGGTGTGATGTCAGCCCCGGCCTCTGGGCTTGCAACCCGAGGGCTACTTATGCACTCAGTGTTCCTCCTACCTCAGCCTCCCAAATGCTAGGATTACAGGCCCTGCCGTACCCTGCCCAGGTGTAGGCCGAGGTGAGTCCTCCCAGCACCAAGACAGCCAGCCCACTTCCCACCCTGCAGAATTCAGGCTCGGCTCTGTGCCCAGCCTTCAAGGCCCTCAGGAGCTGAGTGCAGAGACCCCAGGACACCCCAGGAATGCATCTGCCTCCTCCTTGCAGAGTACCTAGGCTGCCATCCCCCTGCGCTCTGTGACCTTGGCCCAGTGGGGTTGGGCTCTCCCCATTCCTCAATGACCATGAGGTGCAGCACACCTGCACCCGCACAGGGCTGAGCTACCTACCTACTGATGGGCGAAGGGGTCACCAGTGGCACACCAGAGCCTATGCCAGGCAGTCTGACGTCACAGGGAAAACTCAGTATGGCCGCAGATAAAACTGGGCCCAAATCCACACCACCAACAGCTCTGTGACCCTAGCTAAGTGTCCTAAGCTCTCTGTTCCAAGTTTCCACACCTGCATGATAGGATAATCCCAGCATCACTGGGTTGTCCCTCCCTGTCCTTGAATAGTGTACTTTGTGACTACCTGACTTGTGCCAACCGCTGGCTTACAGACTAACAAATAGCAGCTCAGACAGGCTCTGCAATTTATCTAAGGTCACATAGCAGGTCCGTGGTGACACAAAAGGCCAGTTCCGGGCCTGCCTGATGATCCCCTCTGGGCAGGAATGAGAAGCAGGCCTGGGACTATTTCCAGCCCCAGGCTGGGGTGGGGTGGCAGGGTGGGCAGGGCGCGAGGTGTGGGGGGCAGGCTGTGCATTCTCAGCTGGCTTGCAGACTGACAGGCTCCCCACTTGCGCCTGGAATCCCAGTCCCGCACACCCACGGCAAGCGGGGGGGCGCTGGGCGCTGGGAGCCCGGCTGAGCAGGGCCTTTGCAGCCAGCCCCTCCCCAGCTGCTCTTCCTGACAGCTGACAGGGGGCCGGGCTGCAGTGCAGAGCCAGCCCCGGGGCTGTACCAGTGCTGAGCAGTGGCTGGGTCCTCTCCTGGGTACCCTAGATGCACCCCAACCCAGCCCTGTTCTCTGGTGTCTTTTCCTAAAAGACCTCACCAGCCACGCCTCTGCCCCAAGACCCCCACCCATGTACCCACAGTCTGGGGTCAGTCCCAGCCTGCACTTCCATCTGTGACCTCCAGCAGTCTCAACTTTGCAGAGGTTAAATCACTCATCTGAAGCCACAAAGAAAGGAGTGCCAGCACTGGAAACACCCTAAAGCCAGGCCGAGCCTGCACCCTTAATCGTGGCAGTGTGCTCTCATTTGCCCATCTAAAGTGGTTTTTTTTTGAGATAATGTCTCGCTATGTAGCCTGCGCGGATGCTGAACACAGAATACAGCACCAGCGGCCTCATACTTGCGATCCTCCTGCCTTGGCCTTCTGAGTGCTGGGATTACAGGGCTGCAACACCATGCCTAGTGTGATAACCTTTCATAAAGAACAGCCTGTCACATCCAGACGTGATGCCCTCTCCTAGGTGTCCACCAGACTCCCAGCCCCCCAACCCCCATCCAGCCTGGTGGATTTGGAAAAGAACAAAACGCCAGGCCACCGAGGTACACAGACACAGGGCTGGCAAGCAGACAGGGACAGGCAGGGAGGCTGGAACATAACCAAAGCCTCTGTCCCACCTGTCCCCAGAACACCTTTTTATTCACAAGAGAATGGCTAACGTGCCTGGGATCCTGGGCCAGGTCTGAGCCCCAACAACTGCAGGGGCTTCTTTAGGGACCCCTCCCATTTGAAGGCCTTCGCAGGAAGGAGGGAGGGGAACAAATCTCAGGGTGGAGCATAGTTCAGAGGCACCAATCCTGGCCCTACTACGCCCTGGCTGTGAAGCACCGCTCTGTCCCTCAGCCTCCTCATCCACAAGGTGGGCACCCAGTCACCTAATTTCGAGGGAGGTCACTGAGTTTAAGCACTGGTTTGTGCTTAAACAGCACAAACACTGACAGCCTACAGTCCAGCTCTGAACCACCAAGTAGGTGGCCTTGGGAACCTCCCCGTGCTCACGTGCCTCGGTTTCCCCACTTGGAATGGTGCATTAAGATTTCCCTCTTGGGGAATTCAGGGAGTTTATAGGCAACATGGCAGCCCAAAGAGATGGGGGTTCCAAAGGTGGGGGTCATGGAGCCCCAAGGAGCCAACCTGGGTACAGCAGTGAGCAGAAGGGACAGAGATGACACAGACTCCCCCGACTTGGGGAGGCCGATGGGGTGCCAGGCCCCAGAGGCCTGGATGGAGTTTCCAGAGGACTTAGCGAAGGGAAAGAGCCTCTGACACCCTTAGCAGTTCCACAGCACCCTTCCACCCGTGACCCATTTTTCATGAGAAGAATGGCTCAAGGGCACCAGAAAGCTTCCAGGAAGCTTTCCAAGGTCTGCAGGGGAGGAAGCCAGTGCCCAGGGAGGGCAAGGGTATATGCATGGCCAGGCACATGGCTGCCCTCAGTAGCTCCCACAGAGCTAGGGCTTGGCTGGGCCCAGAGTGGCCTGGGGCCCTGGGGGCTGCTAGAAGCTACAGGTGACAAACTGGGACCTCGACCTGCTCCCGCTCCCTGGAACACATCCCCTGCATGCGCGTGTGTGCATGTGAGTCCATGTGTCTGTGAGCACATGCACCTGCATTCCCATGTGCAGTTCACTTTGTGCATCTGTAAGCATGCATGTACATGTGTGTTTGCACACATGTAACCTGCACGACTGACATCTGTCCACATATGTATGCAACAGCACGCATCTGCATGTCTGTGCACACGTGACCATTCGTGTATGTGTCTGCACATCTGTGCATCCTCACTGTGTGTGGGCTCAGCTATGTCTATACATTAGAGGCCTCAGGGTGCGTAGGTGAGGATATATATGTGTCTAGACTTTTTTTTGGTTTGGTTTTTTGAGACAGGGTCTTGCTATGTATTCCAGGCTGGCTTTGAACTCCCTACATAGCCCAGGCTGGCCTCAAACTTGTAGTGATTGCCCTGCCTCAGCCTCCTGAATGCTATGTATCTAGACTTTAAGTGAGAACAGGCCAATGTGTCAATATAGTGCCACCCAATTCATTCTCTTCCCTAGGAACGTCTTGGCCCTCTCAGACTTTCTGGTCCATGACCTGTTCCAACTCCTCTAAGAAGCCCTCCTGGATCCCAGACCCAGTACTCAGAATTCCAACATCAGCCCCACCTGACATGGTAGCAGCTTTCCTCCCTACACATTCTGGCACCAGCCAGCTGAAAATCCATCAACATCCCTCCCTTCCTATCTCTTGGACCTCTCACCTGTGGCCTTCCCCGCCTCCCTAGTCCCCTGTGCTAGGGGACAGCCCACAAGTGCCCCTACTTCCAGTGGCCTTTCCCAGCAGCCACAGGATCTGGCTCGAGCACATCTTCGAGAGCATTGCCTGACTTAGAAACCTCAATGGCTCCCTACTACCCCTGGGATCCAATGTCCAGCCTGGCATCTGTGGCCCATCACAAGCCCTTGCCAACTCCCCCATCTGCCAGGGAGGCTTCCCCACGTGCTCATTGCGCCTGTCTCCTCACAATGCTCTTCACTTTGGGGTCACCTCCCTGGAATTCTCTCCAGAGGAGTCGTCCACCCCATCACAGGGCTTGAGGCGCTTGTGCTTTTCCACAGAGCAGAGTCAGACCGGTCCCTCTCCCCTGCCTTATGGTACCTGGTACGGGGCCAGCAGACAGCGAAAGGCACTTGGGAAACTGAAGGAGGCAGGCAAAGCTGGACAGACCCTCATCCAGCAAGCAACAAACCCCTTCTCTAGAGGGCGCCACCTCCGAGGGACTTGGAAACAAGTCATGTGTCCAGACCAACCAGCATGTGCCCTGGGAAAGGTTGCTCCTTTACCTTGCACCAGGACGGGACACTCATGACCACTCCAATCTCCATCCCCAAGGAGAAGCTGCGGAGGAGGCTTGGCAAGGACAGCCCCAGGCCTGGCTAGGTACGTGAGCTCGGGGAAGTCACCTCCCGACATGAGGCTCAGTTTTGTCACTTGTGCTTTGTGATAACTACAGCTACTACAGCCTTGGTGATTAAGAAGTTATAACTATGCAGTACTTAGCACAGTGCTTAGAACACAGTGAATGCCCATAATGTTGGGGGGTTTTGTTTTTTTTTTTTTTTTCAGACAGGGTCTCACTAGTCCAGGCTGGCCTTGACCTCACTATGTAGCCCACGAGGTGCTCCTGCCTCAGCCTCCCAAGTGCTGGGATTACAGGTGTGGACTATGCCTGGCTGGGTGTTATGTTGTCATTATTATTATCACTACTAATATTACTTCTGTGTACTAGATTAGAAAACCAAGGTTCTCAACAGCAGAAGAACTGGGCTCCTCCAAACTATACTGGGAGTTGGCAACAGAATAAAACAAACGTCCAAGTCCCAGGCCAGGGCCTGACCCTTCCAGTATTCCGTCCGGAAGGCCAAGGAAGAAGCGCCTACTGCAAAGCGACCCTTTCTGTGCCCAGTATCTGCCCACCCAGCCAGCAGGCATGCACTGTCTCCTTACCTGTTAAGATTCTGGGGGCCAACCAGGGCTCAGGCTGCTGAGATGTCCGGAAAGGGAGGCAGTGGGGAAGGAGGAGGTGGCTCCAGCCCCACTATATCTGAGCCCAGTTGCTGCAGGCCCTGCAGGAGAGAGGAGGGGACCATGAGTTCCAGACTCTGACCGGAGGGCAGCCCCTCCCCTCCACTAACCTCCAGGTGCCACCAGCCCAGGTCCCTCTGGGCATCTGGACAACTGAGCTGGCCCACCCAACAGGAACCTGCCCTCCTGCCTCCTGAACATCCCTTCCAGGCCCTGGTACCAGCCCTGGTGACCTCCGAAGTGCCATGGGACAGCAGCAGATGGCACTACACCCACTATGGTGCCCCATCGGCCCTGCCTCCTGACCTCAGCCTTGGCACGGGCTGGGTCCCTGACCATGACTCTTTTGACCCCACCTCTCTGTTTCCAAGGCCCCTTGGCCCCAGCTCAAATGCTTCTAAGTCTGATAAAAGAGGCTGCCATCCCACCCAAATGAAGCCTCTGTCCCTACCTGTCCCAAACACACTTTTTATTTGCAAGAAAATGGCAAACGCGCCTGGGATACTGAGCCCCAACAGCCCCAGGAGCTTTTAAATCCAGAAGCCATGGAGGCCTCCAAAGCACTGTGTCCTTCTTGCTGCTAGAGTGCAGGCCTCAGGGTCAGCCCGGTGAGAGGACAGACACTCTCGTTTCACAAGCGGGGGGACGGAGGGCCTGATGGCAGAAGGGCCCCTCCCACGGTGCCCCAGCAAGTGGGAGAGGCAAGGCCAGGTCTCACTGCTGCTGTGATCTCCCTATGACACCTGTGTGCACAGACACCCGGCTCCCCTCGCTGGTGTGGGGCCCCCAGCCATGGACGTAGTTCTGGGGTGACAGAAGGCAATGAGAGAGGTCCCTGTAGTGGAAAAAGGTGCAGGAAGAAGGATGACACTCGGGTGAGAGCTGTCTGGTTTTAGGGTCCTGCTGCCCCAGCAAGGAGGTCTGAGGCTTGGGTGGCAGAGGGGACATCACTGGGAGCCCCCACAGGGTCTCAGCTGATACAGGTCCTGGAAGAGTCCCAGCAGTACTCTGTGTTACAGTCCCAAACTGAGCAGGTGTAGCAGCGCAGGCCTGCTATCCCAACACCTCAGAGGCTGAGGCAGGAGGATCGTGGCAAGTTCACTGGGCTACAAGCAAGACCTTGTCCCCAAAAAACAAACAAACAAAAACAAAAACAAAAACGGGGTCTTCTCACATGGCCACAGACCATGGAGTGGGTAAGCTGGTGCACCCACACAATGAGTTAGCCCACGGTGTTGGGAATGAGCAGGGTGCAGCTACAACCAGAACAAATACATCTCACAAGCACCTGATCTTAGAAGCCAGACGCAGTGGAGAGCACACTTTTGAGATCCATTAGCATCAAGGTCAAGAGAGTCAGAACAAGTCCAAGCCAGTAGCCAGCTAAACAGGGCCACAGCACCTCCACAGCTCCTCCCACCAAGAGGCAGAGTCTGCCCTCCGCCTGCTAAATCTGGGTGTGTCTTGAGACTAGTTTTAACCAATCAGATGCAAGGAAAGTGACACCGTGTGAGATATACAGATGAGGCCTCAAGGGTCCTGCTGCTTCTGAGATTGACTCTTGGAATTCGGCCACAGGAGGAAGCCAGTCTAATTTATGGGAGGTAAACTGAGTCCCAGCCAACAGCAGCACCACTATCGGGGTGATGAACACCATCTTTGACCTTCAGGTGCAGCTGACAGTCCAGGTGACCAGCGCCACAGGAGCTGAGGGGCATGAGGAGGGGACAGCCCAACCACACCACTGGATAGTGAGTTTCTAAGCGGTGATTGTTTTAGGCGGCTCTGGTGTGGTTTGGAGGCAGAGACACATGGCGAAAGCAGGCTGCTGGAAGGCGGGACAGGCCTCTCCGCAAGGGGCAGGTCCCTGGAGGCACACGGGGACTGCCGGGGGGGCTGGATGTTCTACTCCTGGACAGCACAGGAGACTGTGGTGTCTCACACAAGCATTCTCACTTCCAGACAATTTGTCAAGCCACGCTGCATAAAGGACTTGACACTTCTCTGCACAAATGTAACATTCTAGTAGTAGTGAAAAGCAAACAAATCTCGAGGCCCTCCATCCAAAAGTGGCAGGTCCAGCCCTGGCCTGGTCAAGCAGCCCCTCCTCCAGGAAGCCCTCCCTGACTGCCCCAGCTTGTGCGGGGCTGGGCCTGCCTGAGGGTGCGGTTCTGTCTGGTTCTTCTGGTTCCCCAGCCCCGGGGAACTCTCCAAGCACCCCACATCCTCTCCCCCAAGGTTGAGACCCCCAGCCTGTGTTGACCAGAAAAGTTTCTGGGGGATTGGGGACACAGGGGCCTGACAATCCCAAGGGGAGTCACAAATCAGCACTGGACAGAGCAACACCCCCTAGCTGGCTCCCCCAGCCATCTGAGCAATCTGTTTACAGTCTCTGCTGGGTCCTTACTTTCCTATGGTGGGGACTGAGCCTCAATAGGCCAAGCCAGTTTTGTGCCCCAGGGCCTCTTCCTAGCTTTCTCAGGGACCCTGCTGTGCCAGCAAAGGTGCCAGCCAGGAGCAGGTTGACATGGCCACGTTGGTCCATGGCACCTGTCACCTGTGCCTGGCCTTAGGCACCCTTTGTTAAGAAAGGAAGCTCCCTGCCCAGCACAGAGGCACAAAGCCAGAGTGGTCAGGTCCCTAGAGAGGTGACCACGGGCACACAGGACAGCTGAGCAGGTCACAGCCCAACTTCAGAAGGATCTCTGGAATGGAGCGCTTGATGCCTTATGGTGGGAGGGGTGATCGTCCTGTCCCCAGAGGTATGCAAGCAGAGAAGTGGCCACACATGGGGCTGTGGATGCTGTGAGGCTGTGGGCATCAGGAGGGAGCTGCACTCCTAATAAGCATCACCTGGGCTAATGGTTAAGCACACGGTGGCCCAGCCCACCCTCCACCTTCGAATGAAGTCTGTGGGTCTGGAAGACAGCTCAGAAATTTAAATTGTTAACAAGTCTTCCCAGGTGATCCTCCGCATCTGAAGGTTTGGGGGCCCCTGGCAATGACCTTCCAGGTCCCACTGGGCCCAGAGATTAGTGATTCTGAGTCCCCCCCACACCCAAACCCCATCTGGAAGTCACTGGCCTCCCCACATCATTAAAATAAAAATGATTTAAAAGCTGGGGAGGGGGACAGAGATGTCAGGGTAGGGGCTTCTCAGCCCACGGTGACAGCAGCCTAGCTCCTTCCTAGGCCCCAGGATTCCCCCAGAGCCATCCAGAAAAGCTCAGCATTGTGGGAGGGGACGACAGCTGCTCAGCTGCTGCTCAGGAGGCCCCGGAAAGCAATTATCTCGCTCTTAGCACAGAGGCACTGGCTCTTATAGCCCTCCCTTCCCCTCCTTTCCCTCCCGCCTTTCTC